TACCCAAATAAATTACCAGTTCAATCATTTAACATTTCCAGTAAAGCAGAAATCATTCCAGATCTTTTGGTATTCTAAATGATTTGCAGTTCACAACACAGATCAACCAGGATTATTTTAGGACAAATTTTTGTAGTTTATTTAGATAAGATTCTTTTTGAGATTATCAGATGACAACATCTATCAAACCAGTTTTAGTAACCATTTATTGTTCAGATGTTCTGCGTAAAATAATGATTTGAGACCCCTTGGGCATAAGGATTTGAAGGGTAGGAGGAGCATTCCAACTTTTAAAAAAAATCACAGTTCACTGTTTAGTTGGATACAGAAGCCTTGGCTGCATTCTCCTTTTCCACACGACCGGAATCTGCAACTGAAGGTAAGTGTGTGCAGTATCAAGGAAGTCATATTGGTCAATTGGTTGTGCAGAAAGAAACTAGGGCTAAGATCTGCCTTAAGATGGGTTTTTGCATTGGAGTGAATGTTTGCATTGCAAATTCTCTCTCAAGAGTAAATGTGGTTGATATCTTTTATTATATGTGTTTTAAACAAGTAGACTAGAACCATTTCTCTGTTTTGATAGTGGTAAACAGCTGGTTTTATTTTTATTGATTATGAGAATATTGAATCCTAGAGCCCTTGTAGAATACAGATCCCTGCTCCAAGAAATTTCTAATTTAAAGTATAGTATATAGAGGGGGAAAAAGAATGGATGAATTAAATATGAAATTTTAAATGGATCTGGAATGCTATAAAATAATCTCTTCTACCAACTGTCCTAAGGTTTAATGAATCTCTTTTCTATGACTCAAATATGGTAAATGTACAGATGGGGCTTTTTTGGGGGGGGGTGGGAAGGCATACGAGAAATAGATTTTGCTATCTAAGCTATACTAAGTGTACTCCTGGAAATTTTTTATGGGTTATCACCAGACATTAAAAAAACGTACGTATATGTTTCTATGGAATACATATTTTGAATAGCAATCATGACTAAGCACAGCAAATGGACCACTTTAACATTCTTATTCTGGTTTGGGATGATGCTCCTGTGGTGACCTTTTACCCAATTATATTTCACATCACTTGTTTTGGATGGTACAGCTTAGAATTTCAATAAATTCTAAGACTAGTGAAATTTCAATTTCAATAAATTCTAAGACTAGTGAAATTTCAATTTCAATAAATTCTAAGACTGGTGACTGGAGAAATTTGATTCTATAGCTTCCACCTTGGCCCCTGACTATTAACATAGTTAATATAAAAACTTGTGAATCCAATGTATTCAGGATATGTTTATTTTTCTACAGTTAGAATTGATGATCCTGTTGAGACCCTGATCCTACTGCAGAACTTTGGGGTGCCATGGGTCTCCAATGTTGTAAAATATGAACCTTTTACTGGTTTCTCAGACGGTTTTTAATAATTAAGCATATCAAGTAATTCAAGCACTGGTGTCATAAGTTTGTGAAGATAACTGTATATGTGTTAGAGAACATAACCGTGCCTTTGGTTTGGTAATGAAAGCAGTGAAGAATGTTTATTTTGCTGTCTCCATTCGATCTTCAAATAGAAATCCAGTAGAACTTTAAATATAAATAATTTCTTCTGTGCAAGCTCTTTGATATTTGCTGTTACAGTTATCAAGACAATTAAATGCAATTCAAGGATAAAATTTATCCCCCCCCCCAATAACAATGTCCCAAATCAGTTTCAGCCTTTCAGGGAGATGTAAAGAAGAAATTTAAGCTTTTACTCTATCAGCTTGATTTTTTTAATCCTTTCCAATTGTGAACTAATTCAAATAGGCCAAGGAGTATTGACTTGAAGCAGTGGGTGAAGTAAAGGGTGAAAGCATCATTATATAGAAAGGGGGATGCTTCCTGCTGTTATTAAAGAATCAGTAAATATAACCACAAAACAAAGAAAACTAAACCTCTGGATCTAGAAGATTGTAATAACTGTTGCCAAATGACAAAAGCTCCTTTCTGATCAAAACGACCGAAAGAATCATAGGACTCTAATATGTATTCTGGGAAGACACTGATTATTTTGATTTACTGCAGATTGGATTCTGATCTGCTTATATGAAATATTGTCTTTATTAACCTACTGGTTTTAAAAACATATGGACGACTTTGTTTCTGTTACTCAACCTTTCATCAGCTTTTGATTCCATTAATCACAGTATCTTCTAGCATAACCCTATGAATTGAGAGTTAGTAAGTAGTCTCCTATTAAGCCATAGTCACAGTATTGATATTTTATGTTTCTAGCTCCAAACCATTCAGGGTTACCTCAAAATGTGTCCTAAATGACATTGGCCACAGAGGCATTTATTCTCCTGGGGGAAGATCCCCATTTGGTAGGGATCCAGAGATGGGCCTTCTTCATAATGGCACTTCTGCTTTGACATGATGTTCCTGGTATCAATCCTTAATTTTGTTCTTTTTTTTTAAAAAAAAAAAATCCTGTTTTATTGGCTTTCTCCAGCCATTAATTCTCCTGATATTATCATACTCTTGGAATGGGTACACTGCATCCTGCTTTTGTTGTGTTTACTATTTTCCACCTCTTCTTATTGTATTTTAGAATTGCTCTGCAGTTTTTAAACCACCTTGGAACTGTCTAGAATGAAGTACTATAAATTCTTTCTATTAAAGAAATAACACCAGTAAATGAATAATAAATTTACTTTTATTGTACTTATTGTACTTGTAGTTACTTTTTTTTCTTACTACTTTTGCCTATCTCTTGAGAGCACTGGATGTCTTTAAGGCAATTCACATCATTGTTGCACTGACATATTTCCATTGACCTTAAAAGCAGGAAAAAGCCATTTCTGTTTTTCTTTTGATAAATATTTTTCTTCCACTATTTCTTACTATTCCATTCCCAGTTACTTCCATCTGTATCCTGTCATTTTTTCCATATGACACTTTTTTCTTCCCATGTCGTCGTTATAACAATCCTTATTTCTCTAAGCCCATTCTTCAAGAATTTGCACAAGCTGAATCACAAGCATATGTTATTTTAGTGGGATTGAGTTATAATTAGAAAGTATCAGTTGTAAGAACTCAATGTTTCTTTGGCAATTGATTCTCTTTCAGCACTGTGTTGAACATTTCTTCTCTGTTTTTAAAAACAATTTTTCTTCCATTTCTGGGGAGAAATAGTTTTTCAGGAAATTTAAAAAATGACGAAATACTAATAAATCAGGTCTGAAGTGCTTTTGTTTATCTTTGAATATTTCTAGATCAATGTTGGAAATTCCAGATGAATTTTCAATGCCTTTTCAGTAACATAATGAATTATCCAGATATTCATGGACTATCTGTATTATATGTAACCCTGTGTCCCTTTACCTTTCCTCTTGCTTGATATATTTTTTCTATGTTCCTAATATCCAAGATGTATTGTCCAATTGGCCTGAGATATTAATCTACAGAATTGCCTTCCAACTCATGCTTTTCACACTGAAACAGAACATGCTTTTTGCATAGCCAGTAGTTCTGTAATTTGTGACCATGTCCAGAATAACTAATATGTATTTCCAGTATGTATGCAAAGATAGAAAATTGACTCCTGTGTACATGACTATATTTTGTATACACATCCTCTCCAGCCAGTTAGTTATATCAGTTATTTTTATGCAAATTAGCATAGGCTATTGCATTTATGACTGGGCTTTTTTGTATATTTGAACAGCAATTCCTAGCTAAACACTTCATATAAAATACTATTCATTCAGAATCCACTTTAGTCTTAGATAGCCATCCAGCTTCTGGGGAATTGAATGTTAATCTGACACCTCCCCTTAATTGCCACCAATCCAAAATATCAAAAGGATCAAATTTACATGTATATTTCTTGCACACACAAACACACACACACACACACACTGTGCAGTATGTATGTGTGTATGTATATATATCCTTGTTGATACTCTGTTTGATACTTCGCACTGGTTTAATTAAAGGCAGCATTAAGGGGCGATGATATATTAACATTCAAATCCACCAGAAACTGATGTGTGTATGTTTATGTGTGTGTCTGTTTGTGTGTGTGTGTGTGTGTGTGTGTGTGTGTGTGTGTGTGTGTGTGTGTAACTAGGGAAGCCAGGAAATCTTCAGGAATGAAGAAAAGTTTAGCACAGTGCCAAAGTATGCCTTCTACTTCCTCCGAAACTTTAGTCCAGGCTTCCGTTTCTTCCTCAGAACACTTGAGAAGATTTTCTCAATGTATTTGAGAAGCTTTACAACTTGCAAGAAGATCCTTCTGTGATTCTCATTGTGCCTGAGAATTTTTCCATTGAACTTGATGGTGGGTTCGTGTCGTTTTGCTTCTGTTTTGTTTTTATTTAGCTTAGTGTTTTGTTGGAGATGGTGCTGCGTGCTACTTCTACTATTTTGGTTTTGATTTCTTTCACTGCTGATATTCCCAATCTGCAGTGAACAAAAGTAACCTGGGTCTTTCACGTTGTTTTTCTTTTGGATTTAATCGAATTGTACAAAGTGACTTAGACTTAGACATTGCTGGAGTGATGGTTAATTATTTCATTGTTGATATACAGTAGCCTGCTTTTCTGCAAAGAGATGCTCAAGGTAGGTAACAGTACATAAATAAGTAAATAAATACGAATTAACGGGGTTGTGCAAATTCTTCAGTAGGCACTTGGCTCACAAATGATGTGTCCCTCTGGATCTGTATCACAAAGCAGCTACAGGTACTTCAAAGCTTGAGGGAGCTGCTTTAAGGATCCCTTGAAGTTTTTTGGTTGTGTTTGCTTTCCATTGAGGTGTTTAATGATGCAAAGTAGCTCACTGAAGGATCTGTAGAATGAAATCACAATTGAGAAAATCGAAAAATAAAGATTTGAGGGGAACTTTTAATTGTATTAGAGTTTAAGAATGGAAATGATATTATTGAAGAATGAAGTTTTATGATGATTGATGATAGGAATTCTCTTGTGTTTGGATATAGAATCAACTTGAATTATAGTATTTGGGTTCCCGTTTCTTTTTATCAACTGAAGGTCAACTCCATCTCCATGTATTGTACATTTTTCTTTTTTTTATTCATACATACAGATATACAGATCACTTCATTTAGAAAATCCAACAGCCCATGAAAATCATACTTGCTGTTACATGGATTTGTACTGTATATCACTTCAGAAATATGAGAGAAATTGTTGTGCATTCTGTTGTTTCTAATACTATAAAACAAGCCAGGTGATCCAGCAGATTTGAACTCTCTGTGTGCTTTCCCAAAGATTTCCATTTCTTCACGATTTTTAATAACATTTATATGTATGGAATATGTCAGGTAAGATGTTGCCTTCTCTCTGCTACTTTCTTAGACTTTGGAAGACACTATAATTGATACATGGTCTTCTTTCATTATATTCAAAATGATTTTGGGGGGTAGAAAAATGTTTTACTAATTTGTTTTTCCTTTACTATTCCTAGAGAATGGAGGGTATTTATACTACATGGACTTTGCAGTATCTGACTTTGTGCATAATAGCTGTAGTGTTCTGTTCCACAAAGGGTATGTCCAGCTTGAGAAGTATAATTTATTACCACCACAGTCATATTATATTATTTCCTACAGTTCGTTAGTTTGTTTGTTTGTTTCTTTCTTTCTTTCCTTCTTTCTTTCTTTTTCTTTCTTTCTTTCTCTCTTTCTTTCTTCTTTCTTTCTTTCTGCCTTCCCTCCTCCCCCCCTTCCTTCCTTCCTTCCTTCCTTCCTTCCTTCCTTCCTTCTTTCTTTCTTTCTTTCTTTCTTTCTTTCTTTCTTTCATATTTCTCTCCTGTTTATTTTTGATTTTGGAAGTCATTTCAAATTATTGTCTTGTTCAGGTTCTTCATTAACTTAGAAATTAGATTCTGGGACATGTTGATAATCAGGGGAAATTATCTTTTCTTCAACCTGCACAGTGTATCATAAGTTACTGACTGCTATACAATCCTCAAAATATTTAGAATTACTCTCATGCTTAACAGTTGTCAAGGTGTTATTTTCTTAAAATAATTTATTCCTTTTCTCTTCAAATGTATCTTATCTAGTTATGGCTAAATACTTCAATTTTTAGTTTCATCAGTCCAAAGCATCTTGTCCCAAAACATTTCAGAGTTATCAACATTTTCTTTTGCATATTTTGTGATGATGTCAGAGAAAAAATTCCTGTTGATAATTCTTTCACACCATTATTGCTGTACAAGCAGTGCCATTTCTTAATAGTGCCTCTCACATCTGAAATGGCTACTTGTCAGAATTTTGAATTTAACCTTTCTGTGCTTTATAAAAGTAGAATTATCTTCAGATGCTAAGGGATGTTCAAAGAAAGCTATGGCCATTAAAAATAGACAGCTGCCTAATACTGACATTGTGAGAGCATAGATATGAAATTTGATATGTCACTATTCACACACCATGAACTTGCATCATTTGCATGATATTTTATTATAGTTTATTGTTTATAGCATGAGTAGTCTGAAACTTTCAACCTGCAGATGAAAGGAATGTAGATGACCGTACTGTGACATATAGTAATGAAATAAAATGATTGGTTGTTTACAAAAGAATGTACAAAATGAAGAGATTACAAAAGGTGTTGATTTTGTGATTGCATCTTAAAAATTGAAGATTTCTCGGATATTTCATCTAACTAGAATACTCTGGGATTTATTTGGCTAAAGTTGTGTCTAGACTTGTTGAGGTGTCAGAGTATTTTTAAATTTAACCACCTGCAATGTGAATTCATCACAGATATGCTAAGCATTAGGAAATATATTCATTTATACAAGTTGATTAGCCTGGGATGGAGCAGTGCATCATTGCTTCTTAACCCATTTCATTCAATAATCTTTAATTTAGCCTACGTAACATAAATTGACATTTGCAGAGTACAGCTGTGATTGATTTACATTTCAGCTATTTAAACCCTAATCTTCTCTGGTGCTAAGAGAACCCTAAAAGCAGTCTGGTCCAAAAAAGATCCTAGATTATTCTGCTTGTACTAAACATTAGGGAGATTCTCCATTTTAAGATGTGTTCAGCGAATCAACAATTGTCTTTACCAGCTAAGTTACAACTCTTCATTCTATCTATAATAACATGGTCTTCATCTGCATCCCAGTACATTTATAAATTGAAAACCTTCAGAATGATCTTGTTATAAACAGTGAACTAAAAAGCCATGAATGTCTGAATGGGGACATTCCAGGTTTTAGAATTATATTGTTACAAGTTAAAATAAGACTACAGACATGGCATAGTGGGTTTAAACATATTTGATTGAAACATAGGGATACCTTTGTAACAATAAGAGCAATTTGATAAGTAGAGCTAATAACAGAGAAGTGGTACAGTCCCTTTCATTTATATGCATCTGACAGCTATATTTTTGGACTGCTTTAATTTTAATTCCTGAACTAACAGAGAGTTGGGCTCACGTTTCCAGTCCTATGTGATTCTACATTTCTTCTGTAGTTTGGATTTGTAAGTATTCGATAGAATACTTACGGTAATTGATGAAAATAATAATAGTGTTGTAGAAATTAATCCAAGAGCCTAACAAAGATGAGCAAGGAACATTATAAGCATAGCAGGAATTTTAATTTATCACTAAAAATCAGAACAAAATACTGTCTACTAGTTTTGAATATATTCCATAGCCTATAAATAGAGAAGCTATTTCTATGTATTTGCCTTAACTCTACATGATTGTACAAATAGCCTATAAATATAAGTTGTAGCCTATAAATAGAGACAATAGCTTCTCTATTTATAAACTAGGGAATACAAGTTAAAATCTATAAAAGGTATTTATGGAACAGCTTTCATTATATTCAATTGAGAAAATCATATATTTTAAATGTTGCACAACTAATATTCTTACATTTGCATAGACCACTCAGAATGTTTTCCAGTATATTCTTTGTCATTTGTAATTTTGGAAAGACCTATATATACATATTACTATTACTCTGTTCTTGAGAAAAGATAATGAAGATGTTCATTATCTGAGAACAGATAATGGAGAGATAATAAAGATGAAATAAGCTGTTTGCTTATTTGCACAGGCAGTTCTTGTTATCTACCAGACAAGTGGAGGAGTGGCTAAAATGAGCAGAACAATTTTGGATTTATAAAAGCAACTTACTCAAATGACTTTTAGGGAGAAAGGATTTTATAAAGACAAATATTTGCTATCTGAAGTACATGTATAATTAGCAATTATGAACTGTTTTGTGTTCTACCAGTTTCGGTAATGACAAGCAATCAAGAAGTGGAATTAGGTGGCAATGTCACTTTGAGATGTACTTCATCACAACAATCTGATATTTACCAAGTTACATGGACCAAAAAAAAGAATGGAAATGATGAAAACATTGCAACATATAAGAAAGATACAGGTTCAATTGTTTTAAAAGATAAAGATCGGATCAATTTAATAATTTGGAGCCTTAAAGATACTGCTATTAATTTGCTGAACGTGACAACAGAAGATAATGGTTGCTACCAGTGTGCATTTCTTGTGTTTCCTGTAGGACCTCACATGGGACAACCCTGTCTTTCTGTTTATGGTAAGTCTGCCCAAATAAAACTAGCTTCAATAGAGTATTGATGAGGCCTTGTCTTTAAACGAGGCACTATTACAATAACCCAGTGTTTCTCAACCTTTTCAACTTGAAGATGTCTGGACTTTAACTCCCAGAATTCTGGGAGTTGAAGTCCAGACATCTTCAAGTTGACAAGGTTGAGAAACACTGCAATAACCCATGTGCTTTACTTGAGGGCATAGAACACTAAATTATGCAAGGAAAAAATAATAATCAATAGTCCTCACTCAGGACAAATTTGATAGAATTTCATTAAAAGTACACCAGGAAGTCCACATTCATTTTATTTTGCAAACATTTGGGGGTTTTTGTTTTGTGAGATTATTATTATTTTTGGCCACTGCAACAATGGAGTTGATATCTTTTGCAGTAGATCTAATTAGTACTGCCCATATAACACAGAGACCGTTTTAGTTCCCTCCAAAAGTTTAAACCACAATACCTTGCAGTTAGCTTAAATTAGAAAATATTGTGTTCATTTGGCATCAACCAAATATTTTGAATAACTCACACAATCTCTTGGATATTGTCTAAGTCTGATATCAATTGAAATACAAAACATTTGGAGAGCAAAATGGATTCTATCTAGATTAACAGGGTATTATGTTATTGTATTTTATTGCATAAAATATAAAGAGACATAATGGTACTTTCTATGACATTTAAGGATGTTACCTAGAAATGATTATGTGAATTTTCTAGCCAGAAGTCCACTTTCCACTTGAAAGAATGCATTTAATCTAATTGTTTCCTCATTCACATTTTATTGTTCCCTTGAGCTCCTATACTATATTACAAGAGCCCTATGAAGTGGTATATAAGTTAGGGTGACCAGACATCCCGCTTTTGATGGGACAGTCACGATTTTTCAAAATTTGTCCCATGTCCCGTGGCGTGTTCAAAAAGTCCCGATTTTCCGAAAGAAAGAAAAGACGCCGAATCATCAATTTTAAAAAGGACGCCATTAAAAAAAGTTTTTATTTCTCTGAGGTGTCATTCCCGATGTGGCCTTTAGAGGGCAGTGGTTTCCCTCCCTCCGCTTGGCTCGCTCTCAGCGCCCGATGAGGGGCAAGGCTCTTTCCCCTCCTGTGCGTGCGTGCGCCAATGCGCGATGTTTTTGTGACAACTGTCCGGTGGCCTCGGGTGGGCCTCGGCTTTCCAGCGGCGGCAGCGCAGTGAGGAGAAGGCTCAGTCCCAGGCCAAGCGGCTCAGCCATTGGAAGTTTTTTTTTGCCCGCTTCTCTCGGGCAATGCTCTCCCTGCAGCCATGCCGTGCAAGCTGCCATCAGCAACCTGGTTTGGGTGAGCCGAGGGGAGGTAGGCGGGGATCCGGTTGGGAGAGGCTGGCGATGGGGGTGGCTTTTGAAAGGGTTGGGGGGCGTTGGGGGAAGGCAATTGGGGGAAGGCTTTTTTTTTTACAGTTCAGGTGCTCCGAGGCCCCCCCCCCAATCAATGGTGTTCCACTTTACCCATCTTAAAATCTGGTCACTTTAATATAAGTCTAAGTGCTATTATTATTGCTATACTAATCAAGTTCTGATCTTGTGATGTGTGTCACAGATGATCTCAAAACATCTATAGACTACAGCATCTCTGGTAATCATTTGCATGCCAACTGTTCAGCAACTGGTTTTCCAAGACCAAATATTTCATGGGATCCATCAGATGGTGTAAAGAAAGAAAAGGATATCACAAACCCAAATGGCACATTATCGGTCATAAGCAACATTTCAATAAGCAAATCAAAGGTTGAACAAGGGCTGACTTGCAAGATTTCTCACAGAGGAAAAATAAAAAGAATTAAAGTGCTAGGAAAAGGAATAGGTAAGTTAACAGAACAAATAGGTCCAATAAAAGCACTTTTCTAAAAGCTGATAAAACTCTATGTCTGTATGTGGGAGAGTGTTTGAAAATCTTATTTCTGCTAATATTTTTTTTTTACTTATAAAGGAGAATATTTGTAGCTCAGGGTTGACATGAGGAGTCCTTGATGCTCTCTGACCTTGCTTGTTTTCTTGCAGATATTTTATTACCCAAACTAGCTAACATCATCAGTGATGTTAGCTAGGAGTACAGTTTGCTATCAATGGTGGCTTGCCCTGTTGGTGTTGGTGATCTTAGAGATTCTTTGGTTGGGCTGTTTACTGTTTGGCTGTTTGACAGTTTCTTGATTGGGGTATCATTTATTTGATTGTTGGTTTGATATTAACCTTGCAGTTAATCTATAGTATGATGATCTGGATGGTGGTTGCTGGTGAAGAGGTGGTTGGATCCACACTGTTCCTTTTTAGGCTGGGTGAATTTTGCAGCCTGAATCTGAATCTATCTACTGGAATAGAATAGAATAGAGTAGAACACAACACAACACAATACAATGTTTGGCTGTTTGGCAGTTGTTGATTGGGGTATCATTTACTTGATTGTTGGTTTGATATTAACCTTGCAGTTAATCTACAGTATGATGATCTGGATGCTGATTGTTTGTGGAGAGGTGGTTGGGTCCACAGTGTTCCATTTTAGGCTCAGTGAATAGTCTCTATTGCATAGTTTATAGATGTTGTTAATGTCTATGTGTCTAGTGGGGGCTGATTTGTCAGAGTGCCAGGCTTCTAGAAATTCTCTGGCATTTTTGGACTTGGTTGGTCTATGATGGTCACATTTTCCCAATTGAAACTATGGCTAAATATGTCTATATGTTGTGAAATTAAAGAATATTCATGATGAAATTTTTTAATTGCACAACATATAGATAGATTTAACATCTTACCAAACAGAGGTCCCTCACCAATGGTAACTGTAACACACCTTCGTTGTAGGTTCTAATGGGATGGATTGATGGAGTTTCAGTAATATAGATCTGCAGTAACATTCTCTTTTTTTCCCATGCAGACGATACAAAAAAATCTTTTCCTGTGATACCAGTTGTATTGGCTTTGATTCTTGTGATCCTGGTTATTTTTGTGAGTGTATGCTGCTGGAGACAACAAAGGAAAAAACAGAGAGGTAAATTATTCAGTTTTATAAAAAGAATTTGTCAAACATTTTTATCTTTAGTGCTTTACTACTTGATTTCATGTAGTAAATTCTCTTCATATGAAGTTGCTTGGATTATATCAAGCAAATATATTGGTATGGGATAGTTTGCCCCATCCTACTCATTACATGTACACTAATATATTAGAAAAGAGCACAATCCATAATACTATATTGGAACAAATACTAGTTCCACTCAATTGATTTCTTTGTTCTCCCTGGTAAAAGTTTTTAAACATCTCTAAAAGACATTTCAATCCCACTGACTGACATCATTTCAAGTAGATAAAGCATATAAATCCTTAGACTACATCTATGCAAGCATTCTTTAGAGGCACATTACTTGTACCTTCTAGTTCCCTACCATATTTGGAAGAACTTAGATCTTGGAGGAGAGAAAATATTAGCTATTGGTTTTTTTGAAAGGGAAGCTAATAAAGATGCCACTGTTCTATAATTATCCAATTTTTTATCTTTGTATCAGCATTATAAAAGTATGGAAACCACCCCCTGAGCTCCCTCTCTTCACTGACTGTTCCCCAAGCAGCATCTCTTTACCCCATCTCTCAAGTTCATTCCCCACATGCTATTAGCATTGGGTGACTTTGGACTGGGGGAAAAAGCAGGTTTGAGTGCGATTTGGGCCTTGTTAATTAGCAGGTTTAGACACAATCAATATTTGAATGGAAGATCTACAGGGAATTGCAGGGCTGTAGGCTAAACTGGAAAGAAAATTATATGAATGTATCCAAGTAATCACCACAAGATAAGTTTGACTGGGGAGAAGTTTTACTTTCAATAGCTGCTTATGTAAACTTCAGTGAAATAAAAGAAAGGGGCAAGGTCATATTGTTTACTGGAGAAATACATCCTGCTACTGTAATACATAATGCTACTGTTTTGGAAAAGATCCCTTTCCATTGTCCATCAACATAAAATGTTTGAGAGTAGAAAGAGCAATTTTTGCAACTGAATTGTAAACCTTAGTGGGCACATTGAATATTCTTCCCAGAATGCTATGACCTCTACAAAGAATGTAAGAAAAAGTTAACCCAGATTGAGCAGAAAGTGAAGGGACTTGCACGAAGAGTTGCTGGTTATTTGAAACAGCTCGCTTCCCCTCTGTTTCCCCCCCCTCTTCCCTTTTGTATGAACGGTTCTAACTGATTATTTAATTCTCAGCATCTCCTCTTCTTTCTACACATTCAGGAAATGGGTTTTATTAGCCTTCCTTTCCATTTTTCCCCATTGGTCTTTTGTCAGGTACAAGCCAAAAGCCATTACAAAAATAAGCAAACCTCCTTGTTGAAGTGAGGAGGGAAAAAAGGATCATTTTAAAGTATGGGTAACTTGTTTCTTGGTCCATAAATTTTCAGAGCAAGTGATGGGCTCAAACGAAGGACATTATCCATTATGTTCTCCACTGCCCCATTTACAATGAGATCAAGGCCCAATTATTAATGGCAGATGAATTCAAGGGCTCTGTCTTTGAAATACTGAACTGTCTTCTTGCATATAGGTTTCCAAGTGTCAGCAACCAAATTCCTACTTTTGCTTTGCTGTCATTTAAACTGAGAAAGAAATGCTTCTTCTTAGTTGTAATTTTGGCTTTATTCTGTTGTAACTTCTTGTAATCTAATATTTTTATTACTCTATCTTAAACTCTGTTATTGTTAGTTCATGGCATTCCTATTTTATGACTTGTGGTTACTAAAATAAAGTTATTTTCTTACTTACATTCTAGTTGGCGGCTTGTGGGCAGCTGTATGTTGTCTTGCAGTGTACTGCATTACATAGGATAACACTAGCATGTTTCAAGTAAAAGTGGGGTTTTGCTGTTCTTGTGACATACTGGCTAAAATTCAGCAAAACAGACTATTAGCAGGAATGTTACAGATAGCCCAAAGGCAGTTCTGGTTGCTTCTCCTTTATCTGCTATCTTATTAAAAAGAGTTACATGAAAATCTTGATTAACAAAGCCATGATGGATGACAGAGGCAAATATATATGGTCTGGATTGGTGATGACCACAGTATTACACCTCAGATCTTATGAGGAGGAAGTGGTAAAGGTTTTGAACTGATGAATTCAGTGAAATAAAAAAAATGAATACAATGTAGGTGAAAAAAGAAGAAATCAAAAGTTGTAGCAGAACTTAAAGAACTTTTAAAAGGTGCTTTGATTTATACAACTGAACGCATGCTAGGAAGTACATGTACATGTTTATTTATGAATGAAATTGTTAGAATGTTTGCCTAAAATATTAACAGGCTTTATCTAAATCAGTGTTTTTCAACCTTTTTTGTGCAAAGGCACACTTTTTTCATGAAAAAAATCACGAGGCACACCACCATTAGAAAATGTTAAAAAAATTTAACTCTGTGCCTATATTGACTATATATAAGGTGTTTTCCCCATGGCACCCCTTACACTATGTCCCGGCACACTAGTGTGCCG